CTGCCAGCAAAAACATTATATCACTCTAATGACTCAGTTGCTAAATGCTCGATTATTATTGTTTACAAGTCCGAAAAATTTTGATCTCTCTAAGAAAAAATACGAAGTTTTCTTGACAACGATAACCAAACTTACATCTTCGAATATATGAAAATCCCAACGTCGACAAATATAAATGCCATGTAGTATAACCAATCTACCTACAAAACTCAAATCGAGATTTTTCGGTATGGATTTTATAAAATGAATGGCTTTTCTCAGGTGGTATCAACTTAATTCTAACAAGCTTAAATCTGCAGATAATATAAACATTAAAGATACTGTTTGCTCGTAGAAGAATGTTCGAATCACTCCCACATATCTGACGGAAGAAGGGAAAGATTGAACAATGTGGATTCACTCATCTGTATCATTGTTTATTACAAATATTTCATACAAATATAGAAAGACTTTATCATTTCAAACTAAAAGATTTAGAACTAGCCTTGAGAACAATTGGGAGAATTTAATGGAACAGAAAGCTTGCCACTGCATAACCAGCATAAGCTGAAATCTAGAACAAAAACAACAATGACAAATAAAAATTTGAAAATCAGAAGATTAATAAACCAATCACATTAGATTCAATACTTACAAGTTACAAGTCCAGCAGACCATTTGACCGACTCGAATGCCTTCCTCTCCAGGACAGTACTAACACGAAAAGGTCAAGATAAGACACTAATAATAATGGAAGTAAGATGACGATGAACATTTAGGTAGCCAAATATAACCGATTGAACAACAAATATTTGAAAAAGGATACATCTTAGTTGCACTAACGAGCATGCCGAACATGCCAATCATAGTCACTACCTCAATTTGATCTTTTTCCTTCACACAAAATTCCTGATTATCGCAATCAAAATTTGCTCAAAAACTCAAAAGGGAAGAGCGAAAAAACAAAAAGTATAAGTGTATGGTATTTTCACTGTCGTAACTAACAAAACAGACCTCTCCAACATTGTTTATTGCATAAAAAAACGAGCCTGCAATTAGAAGACAATCACCCAAAACAGGAATCGAACCACCTGATGAAACAAAACTAGTATGTACAAAGACACTTAATTTGATTGGAAAATAAAAAAAATTGTATATATAATTTCACTTTGATAAAAGGATCGAAAAAGGTCACCTCCACTGACCACCCCTGCATCAAAAAGGAAGACTAGGCTGAGGCCGGCCACACAAATAGCCGAACCCACAAACTGATGAACCGAGTATTTTGTGCCCAAGAAAATCCATGTGAGAATGACTGTCCATGCTATTGTCCAACAATTCAGGATTGTCACACTTGTAATAGATGTAAATTGGAATGATTTGTTAATTGTTATGAACAAAATGTTAAAAAGTATATATATATATAAAAAAACACTATGAAATGAAATTTAATTTTAAACATGTTCAAGGGTGTCTCCTTAAAATCAATACCTTTTAGATCAAAATTTATATTCATTATTCATCTTTTATTTCGTTGAATGATCGACACGTTAAAATTGACGTCTTTTATTTAAAAAAAAGTTCGTATTTCAAAACATGTCGACTTAAGAATGTCGTATTTACCGATGTATTTCCCGTGGACGTCAACGAAGCCCAGGACAACATACCAATACCAAGGGACCTGAAATTCAAATAACAATTTTGTACTGTAAATTCTTGATAAATTACTACTTTTGTGAAAACTATATTCACTAGTTTTATTGTATGTATGTATGAAACGTTTTTTTACCAACAACCTTTTACGGCGGTATATCAAAATGTTCCCATACACCACGACCAGGGACATGTAAGTCGGGAAGGACAAAGTAAGTGGTGCATCCACTGGAAAAACAGTAACAAAAACATGAACAACTGACAAAGCATCAAACTCTAAATACTAAAATTATTTCTCTTGAACATTGAATAAATAAATAAATAAAACCTTTTAGAATTTCGTGCAAGAAAAGAGAATTAATTTACCTTGAATGGCAACTAAAGAAGAAGTAAAAGTCATAAGGGCCAAGGTAAAAGAAATTAATTGTCCTAAGCCCAGCTTAAAAAATGTCCTGCTCAGCCCCTCGTTCTCTGATCTCCACCAGCTGTTGCTGCTCATTTTTATCAAAATAATTTATTGGAGTTATAAATGTGTTTTTTTTCCTTAATTTTAAAAGAGGGGAGGGGCTGTGTGTAGTACAAATTTGGGTGGCGCCTCGACGAATGGCGTATTTGTGGGCAATGACTTTTATGTAGGTCGTACATTGTTACTATATTTGTTGTAACATAAGATTCTTCCCCTTTCAATTGGAAAATGTAGCATCAATAATTAATGAGAGATGTTACGGTCCCGTTACGGAGTCATATTCCGTCGGGATTTGTAACCGTTAGTGTTTGGAAAGACACGCTGAAATTTCCATGAAGTCGGATCTATCAAAGTGAAATAAAAAAAAATTTGGACACACCAATTTGATAACAGAGTTCGGCCAATAATGCCTACGTCTCCGGACTACTGCAGATATTTTATTACGAAGAAAAATACACTCGTGTTTAGAAAACACTCTCAAACTCACTCACAACCCACAACACAAATACACATAGAAGCTACAACTTTCACTTCGTGTTCCCTCTTTTTCTCTCTTTCTCCATGTGTTATTGTGTTGTTCATAAAAAATCCTCCTCTATTTATAGAAAAGAAGTGGACCCTCTTTTTCAACAAAGTTGTGCTACCATTCTTCAAGAATTTGGGGCTGTCAAATGAAGACGGTTCTTGCCATATTATTTTAAGAGTGGTGGCTGCCACTTTAGTCAAAATAGGTGGATTAACAATCTCCTACTTGAGGACTGATTTCAATCTGTCCTCACACATCAATTACTGCATTTGTCTTCTCCGGTCTGTTACTATAGCAGGCCAACTAAAGTTGAACACAACTTCAGTTTGTCAATGGTCACCACTTTCGTTAGCATATTTGCTGGGTTCTTTCTTCCTACAATCTTCTTCAAAGTCAACACTTCATCATTAAGCAAAGATCTGATGAAATGATAACGTATATCAATGTGCTTAGTTCTAGAGTGAAACACTAAGTTCTTTGCTAGATTTATTGCACTATGACTGTCACTGTGCAAGACACTCTCTTTTTTAGTGAAACCCAACTCTGCTAACAATCCTTGAAGCCATATCAATTCTTTACTGGCTTCTGTCACTGCTCATACTCAGCCTCTGTAGTGGATAGAGCAACAATTTTTTGTATCCGTGACATCCAACTAATAGTTGTAGCCCCGACAGTGAAAACTAACCGGTGGTGCTTCTTCGATGATCAACTTCACCTCCAAAGTCTGCATCTATGTAGCCCTATAACTTTAGATCTACTTTTTTAAAATACAAACATTTTTCAGTTGTGCCCCGTAGATATCTCAAGATTCATTTGACTGCTTCCCAATGAGCTTTTCCTGGTTTTGACATAAACCTGCTCACAAC